ACAATTCCACAACACACTTAGTCCTTTTATATCATTGATGGATGAAAATGCAATAACGATTTCTTATTTTATACAGTAACAAAAACTTTTAATATTATTATGACTTACCGTACTTTCTACCATGTACGGTCGATTAGTTCTGAGTGTTTTCACAGCTTGGAAGACATCAACCATCTGGTCCACTTTGATTCTATCACAAGTAGACACTGATGCACAATATACACCACTACGACCAATACCATTACTATTGAGATATTATGACACAGAAAGTGGATTGTAATTAGAGGCGTAAGTTATTGTACATTTCTTTTGTTGTGACTAGACTTGCTTCCCTAAACATAATTTGAGATTATCTCTGAAATACTTACTTCCAGTGAACAGTCACAAGTCTATTTCCAGTCTGGTGTTGTCATCAGTCCTGCCTCACTAAAAATAATTTGAGATGATCCCTGAAATACTTACATGCAATGAAGTCTGTTGTCGTCAGTCCTGCCTCACTAAAAATAATTTGAGATGATCCCTGAAATACTTACATGCAGTGAAGTCTGTTGTCATCAGTCCTGCCTCACTAAAAATAGTTTGAGATGTTCCCTGAAATACTTACATGCAGTGAAGTCTGTTGTCATCAGTCCTGCCTCACTAAAAATAATTTGAGATGATCCCTGAAATACTTACATGCAGTGAACAGTCACTGGTCCATTTCCAGTCTGTTGTTGCCATCAGTCCTGCCTCACTAAAAATAATTTGAGATGATCCCTGAAATACTTACAAGCAGTGAACAGTCACTGGTCCATTACCAATCTGTTGTTGCCATCAGTCCTGCCTCACTAAAAATAATTTGAGATGATCCCTGAAATACTTACATGCAGTGAACAGTCACTGGTCCATTTCCAGTCTGTTGTTGCCATCAGTCCTGCCTCACTACAAATAATTTGAGATGTTCCCTGAAATACTTACATGCAGTGAACAGTCACTGGTCCATTTCCAGTCTGTTGTTGCC